TTCAGCAGCTCCGTGTGGCAGCAGAACCACAGGTGGCAGGCTGCCAAGAAACGTGTCTGGGTCATTGTGGCCAGGGCTCCTCGTCAGGGAGCTGAGGTGTTAGGCATGAATTCTTCCTCGTTCTGTGCACCATGACCACCCCTGGGGCAGCCTGGCCCTGCTGGCCTGTTAGGTGCACTGGGAGTGCAGTTGGACAGGCAAGTGGATCTACTTCCGAAAAGAGCCATGAGCTCGCTGGAACTCACTCTGCTGATCTGGCAGAGGCAGAAATGTTTCAGACCCACTCCCAGGCAGCTGGCAGATCAGGGATGGGGACGAAAAGTGGAGGCTTCCTCACCAGTGGCCCCACAGCCCCTGGTGGATTTATTCACACTGCTGGTGTTTAACTCGCCATAGTAACATTCCAAAAGCTTTCAAACCAGTGCTTAGGCTCCACTGTAGACCAGGGCCTGAGGCGCTAGGCCATCTGAGTGGTGCTCCCTCCTGGAAGGGGCGTAACGTGTCCCTCTTGGTCCAGGACCCCTGAAGCCTAGGCCAGGACCAGCTCCCCTCAGCCGCAGCAGCACCCACCACCCCCACGGCCTGTGCACCTACAATTCCCCGCCCATATCCAGCAGCCCCCGCCCCCCCCCGGCCAGCAGCCCCCCCACCCAGCCCCAGGCCAACAGCCACCCCCACCGCCTCCCGCCAAACCGCAGCAGGTCATCCAGCACCACCCCTCGCCTCGGCACCACAAGTCGGACCCCTACGCCACAGGTAAGTGGCCCTGCTCTGGAGGGGGAGGTGAGAGCCCCAAGACGCTAGAACTTCAGGCTAACTGCATGCTGGGGGTGCCCAGAGCTCAGCCAGGGGGCCTTGGGAGATGAAAGATGGGTGTCAGTGTTCTTGTAGGGTACCAGCCCGTGTCTGTGTCCACTTGGCCTTTGACCACGGGTCCAGTGTGTGCCAGACTCTGACGATCCTTTTCATGGAGCTCTTGGTTGCAGCTCTGTAACTGGTGGGACTCTGCTGAGATAGGGGCTGTGATAGCGCCTGGCTCACCTCTGGGCATCAGGATAGGATCCCTGGAGGAGGCAGCCAGCAGACCAGCAGGAGCTAGTTCGGCAAACAGTGGGCGTGAGGTCTAGGCAGAGGTGGGCTGACCTGGGCATGGTGCCTGCTTGGGAGCAGCAGGCTTTGCCTTCAGATAGCGAGGGCAAAGCTGCTCTCCTGTTGGGAGAACAGAGCATGAAGCTGGGGGTCCTGCTGGGCAGGCCATCAGCCTTTTGTCCTTTGGGTGCTCGTTTTCTAACTGGAATGTTCCAGCCTCATGATGTAGTAGTGATGGCCAGGGCTCAGGCTGAAGTTCTCAGCCACAGCAGGGTGGTCTGTGCAGCCTGTCTTTTGGGGACACCGGTGTGTGCTGCCTACACATCAGCTAGCAATGGGGTAGGACTGTGAAGGCTCCTGACCCAGTGGAAGCAGCCAGTGCCCAGCGGCCTGCTACAGACGAGAGCCGAGAACAGCTGTATGTCCCCCTTGGGAGGCATCTGGCGTTGGTTGACACAGCTGTGCAGAGCCTCATCCCCACCATCGAGTGAGACCAGGTGTCCCTGGGACCCGAGGGCAAAGAAGGCTCCTTGGGAAACATCATTAGTGCTGGGTTGCACTTCTGGTCCTGCCCTCCTCAGAGTCCTTGGTCCTGCAGTTATGGGGGTGCAGCCCAGCCAGGGGCTGGGGCCAAAGGCCAGTGTTTGAGGCCCAAGAAGGTTCAAGGCCTGGGTACTTGGATTTGTGGGGCTACCGCTGAGCTGCTGGTCTCATCTCTGATTGCTGGTGAGGAGGGAACAGCAGACAGGCTTGTCCTGCAGACTTCAGACCTGAAAGTCTGGTGGGCCAGCACTGACTCGAGTGGCAGTGTACAGTGTGGTACTGACGGGCTAGAGGAGGGGGTGACCGGCACCAGGACTGTGAACAGGGTAAGGGCCTCTGTGCCGGGTCAGTGCGAGCAGGTCCTGGGCCTCTGGAATCGGGAAGGCCCTTGCTCTAGAGGGAGACATAGACAAGGTGCAGCCACCCTGGATTTGTGCTCTGTGCCAGCCTATAGAGGATTCGGGACATTTTTCCTGGTGTACTGGCTAGGGACCAGGCCTTGAGGTGAGGACGGTCACCAGAGGGGCCACCACACAGAGTCCACATTCAGCAGCTCCGTGTGGCAGCAGAACCACAGGTGGCAGGCTGCCAAGAAACGTGTCTGGGTCATTGTGGCCAGGGCTCCTCGTCAGGGAGCTGAGGTGTTAGGCATGAATTCTTCCTCGTTCTGTGCACCATGACCACCCCTGGGGCAGCCTGGCCCTGCTGGCCTGTTAGGTGCACTGGGAGTGCAGTTGGACAGGCAAGTGGATCTACTTCCGAAAAGAGCCATGAGCTCGCTGGAACTCACTCTGCTGATCTGGCAGAGGCAGAAATGTTTCAGACCCACTCCCAGGCAGCTGGCAGATCAGGGATGGGGACGAAAAGTGGAGGCTTCCTCACCAGTGGCCCCACAGCCCCTGGTGGATTTATTCACACTGCTGGTGTTTAACTCGCCATAGTAACATTCCAAAAGCTTTCAAACCAGTGCTTAGGCTCCACTGTAGACCAGGGCCTGAGGCGCTAGGCCATCTGAGTGGTGCTCCCTCCTGGAAGGGGCGTAACGTGTCCCTCTTGGTCCAGGACCCCTGAAGCCTAGGCCGGGACCAGCTGGTTCCAGTTCTCTCCTGGGGCTTCGTCACCCACCGTGCTGACTCGCTCCCTGTGCCCTTTCCTAGGTCACCTCCGCGAAGCCCCCTCCCCGCTTATGATACATTCCCCCCAGATGCCACCGTTCCCGAGCCTGACCCACCAGTCTCCGCCCCAGCAGACCGTGCAGCCTAAGAAGCAGGTAACAGGCGAGATGGGGCCACCACACTGGGGGCTGCCCATGGGCCAGGGCTGTTTGCCTGTCTCACCACTGGCCTGCGCTCTCCAGGAGCTGCGTGCCGGCACTGTGGTCCAGCCCCAACCCCTGGTGGTGGTGAAGGAGGAGAAGATGCACTCGCCTATTGTCCGCAGCGAGCCCTTCAGCCCCGCGCTGCGGCCAGAACCTCCCAAGCACCCAGAGAGCATCAAGGCACCAGGCCACCTGCCCCAGCGTGAGTATTGTCCCCCCAACCTCAGCCTCCTGCTCTGTCCTACCCCTGGGGAAGGTACCCAGCCCATGGGCTCCCTGTGTTCCAGGGCCAGAGCTGAAGCCTGTGGACCCTGGGAGGCCTGTGGCCCGGCCCCCTGAGCAGAACGCACCCCCACCAGGGGCTTCTGACAAGGACAAGCAGAAACAAGAGCCTAAGACACCAGTCGCTCCCAAAAAGGTAGGGCTAGGGACCGTAAATGTACCCTGAGCCCCACACAAGGAGGGCCCTCTGCTTTACGGGCCACCCAGTGGGAGTGACTGGAGCACCCCATCTGCCAACAGGACCTGAAAATTAAGAACATGGGTTCCTGGGCCAGCCTGGTTCAGAAGCATCCAACCACCCCATCCTCCACGGCCAAGTCTTCAAGCGACAGCTTTGAGCAGTTCCGCCGTGCTGCACGGGAGAAGGAGGAGCGTGAGAAGGCCCTGAAGGCCCAGGCAGAACATGCGGAGAAGGAGAAGGAGCGCCTGCGGCAGGAGCGCATGAGGTGGAAGCAGGATGTGGGGGCATTGGGGCAGGGGGCACCTGTCGTGGGGCACGGAGCATAGGGACATGGGGGCATGGGACGTAGGACTGCAGCGTCATCAAGCACCTGGGTGCAGAGCACAGAGATGCAGGCTAGACGATCTGACCAGACCCACAACTTCCTGTCTCAGGAGTCGCGAGGACGAGGATGCACTGGAGCAGGCCCGACGTGCCCATGAGGAGGCGCGCCGGCGCCAGGAGCAGCAGCAGCAGCAGCGGCAAGAGCAGCAGCAGCAGCAGCAGGCAGCCGCTGTGGCCGCCACCGCCCCTCAGGCCCAGAGCTCCCAGCCCCAGTCCATGCTGGACCAGCAACGGGAGCTGGCCCGAAAGCGTGAGCAGGAGCGGAGGCGCCGGGAAGCGGTGAGTAGGGGGTCTTGGGCGAGGACCTCGGGCCCCAGATAGAGAGGCAGGTGAGCAGATATCCCTGCTGGTGGTACCCAGCCCTGCACGCGTTACCTGTGTGCTTGCAACTTGCCTGCCGGTGGGGCCTCAGGTGGCCCAAGCAGCTCCTCTTGAGGTGGTCCTAATGCAGTTTAGGGGACCGGTGCTGTGGGAGGGGGCGGTCTTGGAGTAGCTTCAAGAAAAAGGACCCTGTGTTTCACTCCTTCCCTCCTCTCTCGCAGATGGCAGCTACCATTGACATGAACTTCCAGAGTGATCTATTGTCAATATTTGAGGAAAATCTTTTCTGAGAGCACCTAGGTGACTTCTGACTTTGATTTTCTGGCAAAACGTCGACTCTTATAGTGTTAGGGGCGGCGGCAGCAGGGTGGCACGGCAGCAGCGGGGCGTCTCCGGGCCTGGCCCTCCTGCATGCTTTGCCTGGGTAGGCCTGAGGGCAGCGAGGGCCACAGAGCCTGTCTGCCTTATCGCTGCTGGACACGCGGACGCTGTGCAGCACGCGCCTCTCATGAGCACGCGCTGCTGGACCCTAGGCTATGGCCTTCTCGCCAAACGTCTGCGCCGTGTGCACACGACACTGTTGCCACTGCTGCAACAGTCTTCTGTCCATGAGACTGGGACACCAGGTCAGCCTGCCTGTGGGAGTCCCTCCCTCTCCGCCACACCACACGGAGCCCAGGGCAGGCCCTCGAGCTGGAGGCACCGGGTGCCGCCCACCCCTCGCCGGCACTGACTTTGCCTTGAACAGACACCCCCTTCCCCACGAGCCTTTAACCGAGAGCCGCTCTCTGTAAGTGTTCGCTTGTGCAAAAGGGAATCGTGCCGTGGAGACATGTCCACGGCTGCCAGAGCGCGGGGCCGTCCGCCCGCCGGGGAGCAAGGCCACCAACCAAAGTCAGTCCCTTCCCACCTGTATTTCCGGGTTTTTTTTTTTTTTTTTTTTTTAATCACCTGTT